AAATAAAATCTTTTTAAAAAAAGTTAAATATAGAATTACCATAAGATGCAGCAATTCCACTTTCAGGTATATATCCAGAAGAAGTGAAAGCAGGAACTCAAACAGATACTTGCACACCAATGTTCATTGCAGCATTATTCACAGTAGCCAAAAGATGGAAATAATCTAAATGTCTATTAAGAAATTGATGGATATACAAAATATGGTATACCCATACAATACCATTCAGCCTGAAAAAAAAATGACATTTGGTCACATGCTACAACATGGATGAACCTTGAAAACATGTGCTAGGTGAGATAAGCCAGACACAAAAGGCCAAATGTTGTACAATTCCACTTAATAGAGGTACCTAAAATAGGCAAATTCTTAAAGCCAAAAAGTATATTAAAGGTTACCAAATGCTGGGGATATGAGAAGGAGGGGGGAGTTATTGTTTAATGGGAGCAGAGTCTCCATTTGGGATGGAAAAAATTTCTGCAGATGCATGGTGGTAATTGTACAATGTTGTGATTTACTCAGTGCTGCTGAATTGTATGCTTAAAAATGGTGAAAAGGGTAAATTTTATATATTCTACCTCAGTAAAGAAAAGAAAGGAAAAAAGCAAACAAATCTCAGTGGAGGAGTGACAACATATAGTCAAGAGAGCATGTGAAATGGGGTATATATCTACACAGGTGTGGGCATAGAGGAGGACATCTTTGTAAAATAAAATATGTTATTTCCAATTTAAAACAAAACTGATGTTGCTCTGGACCATCCCAGTTTAATTTAACTAGAATCTCTATGGTTGGATCCAAGAATTATTTTTTTAAATCTCCTCAACTGATTCTAACATACAGGCAGGGTTGAGAACCACTGATCTATGTATCTGTTACTCTGTTTATTTTCTCTTTTATCCAAGCCTAAAATCGTGCTACTGTGAATTAAGGCTAGGGCCTGCATTATTTGCTTTTGGTCAATAACGTCACAAAAGGAGCAGCACCACCCACCCCCAAGGCCATAGAGTGAGGCCAACAGGGACACCAATGGTTGTTCCTGTGGAGAAAGGAGACGGGTCTGAGATCAACTTCAAGGTCTGTCCACTCTCCCCTGACCAATCTTGGAAGCTGAGAATTTGCCTGGTCAAGAGTTTCAGGTTTCCTTAGAACCTGTCACAGTTTTATGTAATCCCTGGATTTCTTACGTAGGGCTTGGGAACCAAAAAGATGTGGGTTTGAATCCTAGACCTGCCATTTATTTGACACGGGGAAAACATACAAAGCTTCCAATTTGCAGTTTCTTCCTCTGTGAAGTGGGGGCACCACTGTCCTCTCTGGAGGCTCAGCAAGGTTAACAGATTTGTGCACAGCCTGCTGGTAAGTGGGACTGTAGGATTTGAACTCAGTCAAAGCTTCCTGCATACTCAACCTCAAGAGATCACTGGACGGGCGCCTGGGTGGCTCAGTCATTAGGCATCTGCCTTTGGCTCAGGTCATGATCCCAGGATCCTGGGATCAAGTCCCACATCCAGCTCCCTGCTCTGCAGGAGGCCTGCTTCTCCTTCTCCCACTCCCCCTGCTTGTGTTCCCTCTCTCACTGTGTCTCTCTCTGTCAAATAAATAAATAAAATCTTAAAAAAAAAAAGGGGGGGGGGGAAATACAGTGGATTGTTTTGCATGTAACAAACACTGAAATAGCACTTCCAGGCAGTGCTCTAAGTGATTTACAAATAAGAACTCATTCAATCTTCAGACCAACCCTAAAAGGCAAGTACTGCTCTTATTGTTCCCATTCTGTGGATGAGAAAACTGAGGCTCAGAAAGGTTTTTCATAACTTGCCTGAAGACATGTAGCCAGCAAGTGGTCCAGCCAGGATTCAAATTCACTCAGTTTGATCCAAAGATTATGCTCTTAATCACACTGCTAAGCTTGTTTTTTACATGAACCAACTTAATAGGAATTTCACCCCATAATCTTGGCAATGAGGGGTGGGGAAGAGAAAATGAGGATGCACATTTGCCCTGGTATAAGCTTGAGATGGAAGGTAGAATCTGTAGGGTACCCTAGTGTACCTTGATTCTTGGGGATTTCTCCTAGATTGGGAGTCTCTTGGGCTTATAAATGCAAGTTCCCTATGGTGTTTGATTGGAGAAACTGCAAATGATCCCAAGGCTGCAGGACACACTGACTCTTGCTGTGATATGATTTTGGCAATTTGAGGGAGTTTTAGAGAATATTCTTTATTTACACCATTTTCTTTTAATTGTCTGACTTTAAAATCCAGCGTAAGGTGTGACTTCAGTGTGATATTTGCCTTTTGAGGCTGAAGTAAAGGACTTTAAAAACTGAGGGGTTCCTTCAAGAAAACAAACCAGCATGGTTTGTGGGTGATATGAAAAATGCCTGAAGATCTACAGAATCAGAGTTTTGGAGGTGGAAGTGGTCTTACTTACCTCCAACACTTCCCTAACCTTTCCTGCAAGGTTTCCCTAAAGTTATGCAACCTCTAAGAGATGGAAAGCGTTTGCTCCCCAAACTGCCTGACAGCCACAGCCCCAATTTTTCTTATAGTCTCAAGCTTTCCCTTAAAAATTCATCCCTTAATCTTTCATTCAACCTCTTCATATATTTATTTTTTATATAAACATAATATTTCAGATTCCCTACCTACAAGGAAGACACAACACAACAACCCTCTGACTTTATACAACTCCTTTACACAGGGTTGATAATACTTTAGTGACAGAGGCATGGAAGTTCAATACCCTTATTTTACAGATAAAACAATTGCATCCAAGAAAGGGGAAGGGACCAGCCCAGGGTCACCTAGCAAATCAGTGGTATAACTGGGAAGAGAAGGTTTCTGCCATCAGACCTGCTGAGTCTCCTCCCACTGGTTGTTTGTCTACCAGCACTTGGGAGTGAATGGCCTTCTCCTGCCCTTCCTTAGAAAGCACATTCATCAGAACAGAAACTCAATCAATGATCATTAAGTCCAGCCACCCTTGATGGCTATGGTCAGACACCAGGAGCCTTGTTTTCAGAGTAGGACACTCGGAAGCTAAAGAACCCACCTCTGAGGCAAGGGTATCTGTGGTCACGATGCCCTTGGCTTTGGACACTTGTCATCGGTAGAGAATGTCCTTGGCCTTCAACTGGATGGTTCCTGGCATGAAGATTATTCCTGGGAATGAAAAAGGAAATTTTGGGTTTCAGGCTTGGCTTATTTGCATAGAAATCCACTAGCCTCTTGCTGTGCAAAGTATGCCCCACGGACCAGCACCATCAGCACCACCTAAGACACAAAATCTCATGCCCCATCACAAACCTACTGAATCAGAATCTGCACTTTAACAAGGTCTCCAAGCAATTCCTACGCACACTGAAATTTGAAAAGCCTGCCCTGACCCCTACTACTCTAGATGGATCTGGCCAGTAGACTGGTGGATCCTACTTTACACAGGATCTGGGACTAAGCATGTAAGTAGGATGGTGTCCCTGACATCAGGATTAGCTGCATCCCTACCTCCATTTTTCTCGTCTCATTTCCTCCTCTGTCAGTCCCTTGTGTCATCTTGAATCTCCTCTCCCTCACTCTGCATATCTAAATTTAACTACATTATCCTTTGAACTGCCCTGCTTTCCCTTCCATCTTCCATCACCAACAATTAGTTCAAGTCTTCATGTGCCCCTGTTGGGTTCTAATCTCTCCACCACGTGGGTTCCCATCTCTCCACCAGGTGCCTTGTCCTGAATCTTCCTACTACCCAACTTCCATATTGTTACCTGTTCACGTTCCACAGAACACTGACTTTTCCCACTCCGCTTTTCTTCTCTTCACCAGCACCTGTACCCTCTCGCCAGGAAAACACCACACTCTCCCCAACACTGAAGGCACTGCCCACCCTCCACCTTTCTCTCCTGCAAATCTATTCACTATTTCAATATGGCTGTTCTTCACACAGGCTTCTCCTGACTCCTGCCTTCTGCCCATTCTTGGAATTCTCTTCCTTTGCTTCTATCCCTCTTTAAATCTGCCTATACCAGAGAGCTAAGCTCATGTCTGGATTTCCCATGGGCCATCTCTTAGCTCTACAGATGACATGGCTTCTCCATACTCTCTCTGCCATTGCTGTTAATTCTTCATTCCACATGATCTTGATGGATTAATCTAGTATTTTATTGGTGAGAGACTATATGAACATGCATTATAAAGCAAATCAAAAGAGAATCCATGAGTCCCACACCAACTCTAAATTATATAAAAAGATAGGCAATTAAACAGGAAAGGGAAATAGCCACAGAATGCTAACTAATAAATGTAGAAAGAATAATATGTAGAAAATTTTCATATAAAATGACCATAATATTATTCAATTCAATCAAGAATCATTAATGGATTCTCAAGTCATAGGGTGAAAGACAACTGGAGAACAGGATATTCACACAGTCTCATAAGTATTACTTACTAACTATAAAGGGACAAGATGCCTTGCAAAGGTGTTTGTAAATATCACTGATGATAGGACAAACCAACTTGATGTATCCCCTGATGTAAAGCACTGAGATAGGCAAATTGTCCTTTTAGTACTCCCACTAAAAATGTTTAACTGAATGTAATCCCGAGGAAAGAGTCAGAAACACAAATTTTGTGGGATCTTCTGCAAAACAACTGGCTTAGACATTTCCAAAATATGGTCATACAGAAAAGACCAGATTGAAGGAGATTGAGGAGATGTGAAACTTAATGCAATGCATGATCCTCTATTGGATTTTGGATTCAAACAAAAAAATTAAAGAATTTTGTCTATGGATGTATCAGTGTTAGATGTCTTCTGTGACAACTCTGTTGTGGTTAGGTGAGGAGAATATCTTGGATCATAGCAGATGCATACTCCGGTGTTTATGGGTGTTTATCTGGTGTTTATGGATGTCACAATGTCTGCAACTGATACTTAATTGACCCAGTGTGGGAGGAGTGCAAAATGTTAACAATGGATGGATCTTTATTTTTTTGAATTTAAATTCAATTAATTAACATATAGTGTATTATTAGTTTCAGAGGTAGAGTTCAGGGATTCATCAGTCTTATATAACACCCAGCGCTCATTACCTGATGGATCTTTGAAAAAAAGAATGAGTCTATGCAGAAGAAAGTGTGTGTGTGGATGATTTAGAGAGTTGTGACACTGTGTTTGAGGGTGTGTAAGTATGAAAGAGAGAGTGAGTGAGAAGGAGTAAAAGAATATTTGAGGGAGTCTGAGAAAGACAAAGACTGTGCAGAATATGAAAAAAGATAGGGGAATATTAATATTTCAGGACCAATTCGCTCTGGGCCAGACCTAAAGTCTGTTGGGGTCTCTTTCAGTCACTGACCTGCTCGGATGCAGCCTATGGCCACCAGCCACCACTCAGGCACTCAAGGCAGAATCAAGGCTAGACGGTCTCCCTGCTGCAGGCCACAGGTCTGGGTGAAGACATTGGCTGCATGGCGGGATAGGTCTGTCAACTCTCTGAAACTCCACTTCAGTTCATCCCCTTGGTTATTCACCCACCACAGGGCTGGGTTTGGACCTCTCTTGCCCTCCTGGTCAAGATCATACACCATGTGTTACTTCCTACTTCAAAGGAAAAGGGCACTTATTTGGCCAATCTACTACCAAAGATACATTCCAGTGAAAATGTAGCTCAAGGACTGAGATCCCATTTTAAAGCATTTATAGAACCAAGAAAAGTTGGGGATAGGGTGTGATCCAGTGAACTTCTTCTGGTCTACTGTCACCACCTCCTCTAGAGTCACATAAAACCATGAATAGCCTTCATGTCACCTATTAAAGCCTTAAAATTTCATTCTCCCATGTGTCTGTCTTAGTTCCATATGGACAGTAGGTTCTCCTCTGTGCCTCAGTTTTCTCATCTATGAAATGGGTACAATACTACCTAGAAGGTAGTAAAGTTTAAATTAGTTATTTAAACAGGTAAAGTGTATATGACAGTGCCTGGCACATCGTAGGTGCTCAATAAAATTACTATCATTAGTATTACAACAGAACAAGAGACTAATCTAATTCCTGAATATTTGGGGGAGTTTATATTTAAAATTAAGATACCTCTAGAGGTGAAATAAGCAAGAAGACAGACCTGGAAGCTCCCAAGTAACCCTTGTTCCCTCACAGAAACATCAGGTAATCAACAGACTAAAATAGCTTTGTAGGAACTCTAGAAATAGTCAAGGATCTATGGCAACCAACAAATGTCCAAACGATAAAAATTCATATTCAAAATGGTAAGAAATTTTATGTTGTTTTTGTTTACCTTTGCCATCCCCTCTCTGGTGTTGTGAAGTATGATTGGGGGAAGCCACCCGATTTCCAGCCCCTCCCTTGGGACAGAAGAAAAGACTGGAATTTGTTTCAACATTCTGGCTTGTCAGGACTGGTTTCTGCCTCATCTGACTTGGGAGCTCAGATAGGAACGGTGACCTAGTTTGAATATCAGTTGGAGGTGTCTGAAAGCAGTGGCAGATGCCACAATCAGTGGAAACTGTAGACCGTGGCCACCTCAGAGAAGGGGGGGACAGGGCGGACTACAGACAGAGGAAGGCAATATAACATCTAGGGCCCCAAGAAGAAGCACGTATGAGACTTTTAAGGAAATTAAAACATGAAAAAGTAGCAATGTATTTGGTAAAATTGAGAAAAAAGCACATGCATAGGCCTAGGAAAGACAAATGCCCGAGACCTTAAGTTTTCATATGGTTAGATTACTGAAGGCCTTTCTCTGCAAAGAGCCAGCTGCAAAGACAGAGACTGGCTGCTTTTTTCAAATATCCAATTTTCAACAACCAGATCACAAGGCCATGTTGCCCATTTGAAGGAATAAAACAAATCTCCAGAAACTGACCCTAAAGAGACACAGGTTTCAGTTATTAGACAGAGACTTTAAAATGATTGTCTTAAACCTGCTGAAAGAGCTAAAGGAAAATGACAAAGAACTAAAGCAAATCAGAAAAACAATATATGAACAAAATAAGAACCAAACAGAAATTCAGGATCTGAAAAATACAATAACTGAATTGAAAACTTTACCAGATGGATTCAACAACAGACTCAGCAGACAGAAGAAAGAATCAGTGAACTTGAACACAAGTCATTTTAAATTATGGAGTCTGAGGGGCAAAAAGGATAAAAACAATGAAGAGAAGTGTATAGAGCCCAAGGGACATAGTATATAAACAATGAGAGCAATATACATGTTACGGGAGTCCTAGAAGAAGAGAGAGAGAGAAAGGAGCAACGAGCTTATTTGAAGAAATAATGGCTGAGGAAAGGCAAAACCATATTTGCATTAAATACAGGTTTATATAGTAGTATTCATTCATTCATCCATCCATTCATTCATTCATTCAGTATATGGATATACAAATACAAAAGGCTCAATGAACTCCAAATAAGAAAGCCCAAAGAGACCCACACAGAGACACACTGTAATCAAACTACAAAAGCCAAAGACAGAAAGCAGCAAGAGAAAAGTGACTCATCATGTATAAATCTTTAATGAGATTATTAGTGGGTAGCAGACCAGAAGACAGTGGGATTATATATTTAAAGTGATGGGGGAAAACCTGTCAATCAAGAAATTCTATATTCAGCAAAACTGTCCTTCAAAAATGAGGGAAAAATTAGGTCAGATAAACAAAAATTGAGGGAATTTCTTATCAAAAATTGATGGCCTATAAGTTCATTTCTCTATAAGAAATGCTAAAAGGAAGGGCACCTGGGTGGCTCAGCTGGTTAAATGTCTGACTTTGGCTCAGGTCATGATCTCAGGGTTCTGGGATCGGCCTGCATTGGGCTCCTCAATCAGTGAGGAGTCTGCTTATCCCTCTCCCTCTGCCCCTCAACCTGCTCGTGCTCTCTCTCTCTCTCATAAATAAAATATTTAAAAAAAAAAAAAAGAAATGCTAAAAGGAGTCCAAGTTGAAATAAAAGGACGTCACACAGTAACTTGAATACAAAAATATAAAGTTCTTTGATAAATACATGGACAAATATAAAAACCAATATTATTGTAATTTTGGTTTGAGACTCCAGCTGTTACTGTTTTGCAGTATTTAAAAGACAAAAGCATAGAAAATAATTATAGTTCTATGTTAACTTAATATATAAGTATGTGATTTGTGACATCAATAACACAACATGGGGAGGTAAGAGGGAGCTGGAAAAGATTAGGGGTTTTGTATGCAAATGAAGTTGTTATTAGTTTAAAATAGATTGTTATAACTTTAAGATGTTATATGTAATCCCCATGGTAACCACAGAAACTATCTACAGAATATACACAAAGGGAAGTGAGAAGGGAATCAAAACATATCATTACAAAAAAATCAACTAAAGACAAAGAAAGGCAGTAAGAGAGGAAATGAGAGACCAAAAGCTATGACATCAAAAAAACAATTAACAATATGGTAATAGTAAGTCTTTACTTGTCAGTAATTACTTTAAATGTAAGTGCACTAAATTCCCAAAACTAAACTAAAATCCCCAAAAGACATAAATTGACAGAATGAATTAAAAAAAGAAAACAGGATCCAACTATATACTATCTACAAAACTGTTATTTCTAAATGATGGAATATGATAAAACCATCCAAACACTTTCAGAAATTGTTTTGGAATAAAAATTTCACAATACAATATTAATTTTAAAAAGCAATATTACATTATAATCCAAATGTATACAGTAGTATCCATTCATTCATTCAATATATATTTACTAAATTCTCATTATCTGTTAGGCACTGTTCTTAGACCAAAGGATACAATGGTGAACAAGACATACGTACACACACATATGTACATGGTTTTAAATATTTTTTTAAAGATTTTATTTATTTATTTGAGAGAGAGAGCAGAGAGGGAGAGGGAGAGGGAGAAGCAGACTCCCGCTAAGCAGGGAGCCCGATATGGGACTCGATCCCAGGACCCTGAGATCATGACCTGAGCTGAAGGCAGACACTTAACCAACTGAGCCACCCAGGCACCCTGGTTTTAAATATTTACAGCCAATTATCACTTTTTGTTTAAGTAAAATTTCTTATTTTCCCTAAGTTTTCTATAATGAGCATGCTTTTTAAAAAGATTTTATTTTTTTAATTAATTTCCAAAGCATGTCCAGAGTAAAAGTGCAGGCAATGCAGAATCTTATGAACAGAAAAATTTCTTATAAATAGAAAAATGCCTTCAAGTGTCCCATCACATTTTCACTACTTGAAGGTCAACACTGATAATTATCTGGTGTATATTCTTCCAGCAATTTTTTTCCACATATGTGCAAACTTGATCCCACCATATTTGCCCCATATGATTGGAACGAAAGAGTGTACCTCACCTGAGATAAGGTAAGGTTAATATATATGTATATTCACATGTAAGTATTCATATTTATGAAAAAAAACAGTGTTATGAAACAATTCTTGCCCAACAGATTACAGAATATTTAGCAAGTGTAATGACTAGTTGTGTACATTACATGAGGGGAGCAGAGTATGTAATATTATTGTAGGAGTTTTAAAAATGATGGAAAAGCTGGTAGAAAACATTTGTTGCTCAGAACTCAGGCAGTATTTTAGACCCTAACTCTTACAACTTGAAGAAGATATTGCTTACACGGTGATGGGTTTTTGTGTTAAGGATTAATCTGATAATGTGATACTCACATAAAGCTGTTTTCCAAGAAGATAGAAACACCCTCTAAACTTGGAGTTGAAATTTAAGTTTTATGTGGTAATGTTTGAAGCCAAAGGAAATTGTGAAATAGTTTCAAAAGATAAAATGCTTAGTATTTAACTTAGCAATAAAAAAGATGAACAACAAATACGCAGCGATAAATCTCAAAAACAATAATGTTGAATCAAAGAAATCAGACACAAAAAGGTGCATCTTGTATTATTCCATTTCTATGAAACCCTAGGAAAGAGAAATATAATCTCCAGTAGCAGCTGATCAGTGGTTGCCTGGGGCTCAGAGCGGGGTGGGGTAGGGACTGACTAGGAAAGAACAAAAGGAAACTTCTGGGTGACAGAAATGTTCTAAAACTCCAAGTTTACACTAAAAAGGTGTGCATTTCATTCTATGTAAATTATACATCAACATAGTTGATTTAAATAAACAAAAACCTACACAGCTACTCCTTGCTAATCTCTAACAAAAATATACTTTGAAGAAGGAAAATTGGAAAGGTAGATCAATTACTTTAAGTATTCAAAAATGAGATGATTCTTTCGGAATATCAAAACACGTGAGAGGGGCACCTGGGTGGCTCAGTTGGTTAAGTGTCTACCTTCAGCTCAGGTCATGATCTCAGGGTCTTGGGATGGAGCTCCATGTAGGGCTCCCTGCTCAGCAGGGAGTCTGCTTCTCCCTCTCCCTCTGCTCCTCCCCGCTGCTCATGCTCTTGTCTCTCTCAAATAAATAAATAAAATCTTTAAAAAAAACACACACACACAAAACAAACATGTAAGAGTTTATGGCCTATAGAAAAAATTGCCTCATTCTTATTTACAATGAAATATAAGTTGAAATTCAA